AAATGGAGCCCTCTACCAGACATCTCTGGAGACTCTGAGGGTACTTCCTCATCAGTCCAGACTCTGATCCTCAAAGTGTATTGTTATTGTGCAGTAATGTCTCACTTTTCCTCTTCTCCTCCCCCTTCCCCTCTGTCTAGCCTTGTGACCTCATGTGTGTATCCAGTTGGGGGTGTCCAACAGGATTGTCCCCTTCTCCCTCCTCCTTTCCCTTCCCGCCCCTCCAGACTCGAAGCCTCACCCCTGTTGCGTTTCTGTGTTGTCACATAGGGAGTTTGCCCGTTGGAAGGTGAGGAACACAGCCATCGAGCGGAGGGACCTGCTCCACAATCCACTGCCCCTGATGCCTGAGTTTCAGAGGAGCATCCGCCTCCTGGGCAGGAGACCCACCACGCAGCAGTTCATTGATACCATCATCAAAAAGTACGGCACCCACATCCTCATCTCTGCCACCCTGGGAGGTAGGTGGCAACCTGGGCTGTTTTCTTGTGTGGGTGTTGAGGGTGGGGTGGTGAAGGCACTGGAGAGCACCTGCAAACCTCGGCTGTGCTGTGTGGAGGCTGGCTGGGAGCAACAGAGCCAGGCTGCAGCTCCCCCAACCAAAGCCAGTCTCATCAGCAGACAGTGTGAAAACCTCCAGAGTATGAATAGCCTTTGCAAATGAATTCGCAGCGCGAGGTGTGCGAGTTCAGCATCTGTGGTACGTGTGCACCTGTGTTCCTCTGACAACGGCGTGTGTGTACCGGTGTGCGTCAAGATAAACATGCTTCATTTAGCCGGGGAGCCTGTCTGTCATTCCTGCGCCTCTGTCCTTAATTTGACAATAGAATGTGTGGATCCCTCTTTTTTTTTTTTTTTTTTTTTTTTTTTAGAATGAAACAAAATGCAGGGGGAAAATCATCCTTTCTTGCTGGAACTGGAGGAATTTTAAAAAGCTTCAGGAAAAGGGAGTTCAAGGAGTTGGGCAGGGAGCGTGTGCAGCAGGGGGAGAGACCACCAGAAAGGCCTGTGCTGAATGCATAAGTGAAAGCAGTAACATGGAGTAGACTTTTGAAAAAAAAACAGTAGTTAAGTAAAATTCAAAATGTATATGCAAGGACTGCAGAGAGGTTTGCATGTGCAAGCAGGGTATGGCAGTGATGACATAAGACGGAGTCCTGTAGGGCCATTAACCCATGAGTGTGCACTGCTATTGGTGCTGCATAAACATTTCAAGTACTGAGTATTGAAAACAGGAGGGGTGAAAATCAGCAGACCCTCTTGATATCTGCTGCTGCTTTCTTTTTTTTTCTCTCTTGTATTATTATCTTTGTGATTCATTATCCTTTTGGGGTGTGCATTTAAATGCCTTTTCTTTGAGAACTGCTGTCTGTTAAGAGGGATTCCGCGGTGGTAAAGGGTCTTAATTTTAGTACAGTTTGTTGCCGTTGTTTCTTCTAACGTACCCGACCTCCAGCCTTGCCACATTGCAAAGTTTGTAGTGAACTTTGAGGAATTTCTGGCCATCTGTCTGTTCCCAAAGCGTTCTGCAGACACTGGGATGAGGCATAGATGAGATTAGATGTGTGCATATGATTCCTGCACAAATTAGATGGTAGGTAAATTGGCACAGTTCCATCAAGTCAAATGGCCTCTTGTGTGGCAAACGTCCTTCAAAGATCCTCAGGCTGCTCTTCCAGTCCAGACACTCAAACTGTCCACTCCATCAGCAAGAAATGTGAGAGAAAGCAGGTTTCCATGCATTGAAGAGTACAAGTGACTGCATCAGGCCTTAATGAAGTCTGCATAAGGATAAACTCTTTTTTTTTTTTTTTTTTTTAATTGAGGCCCAAGCCAGCCAAGTAAGAATCCAGTAAAGTGAGAGGACTTTTTCGTGGATTTACTTTTCTTTCCATTGACGTGCCCTTTTCTTCTTGCCACTTACATCCGTGAAAATTTGAAATAAGAAAGACATTTGATGGTGAAATATATTTTTAATTTTGCCTGGGTGAGGTTGTGAATTATTCACAGGGGCTTGTTTCTTCTCCTGATTTTACAACACAACAATTTTAAATATGCAGAGACTTGTAACGAGAACTGGTGTTGGAGAGGAGTGCTAAATGCTCCATCAGCCCAGAGCATGGTGAGCAACGGTAGGGGAAAAAAGAAGGATTTATCTTGGCAATGGTGGTCCCAGAGAAAATGTAGATGAAGCTGGGCATGCATTATGCAAGGAGGACATGCTCTAATCACAGTCTGTGGGCCCAACAAGACCACTGGGATGTAAAACCAGACGTGGCCTGGCACCTTTGCTCTCCCAAGACCTCACGCCTCCTTGGAAAAGTTACAAGAATTCTGCTTTGGCTTACAGTTGTTTATAAGCCTGATGTCTTATTAGGTTGCAGACAAGTGACAAACACACAGGAAATCGTTTTGGTTTTAAATGCCAGCTGTTGCATGGACCCCGGGAGGCTGGGTGATGGATCAGGCCAGCCCACCTGAATACAGCAGCTATTTTCACACCTGGCCACATGAGGAACAGCTCTGATGCTTTTCAACCTACAGAGCAGCCAGGTCCCCCTGGAGCCTAATAAAAACACAGCTCTGCTCCAGTTTAGTTCTGACAAAGGGATTGGTGAAGGGTCATTTTGAGGGCATCCATGCTCTGGGATGGAGCACACAGAGCTGAGAGCCAATTTGCAGGGAAAGCCCTGAAGGAAAGACAACTTTGAACATAGCATCAGCTTAATAAACGAGAAATTAAGACTTAATAATGCAGCAAAAGTCTATTAACCTCTCTTGATCTAAGGGTTGCTTTCTCATGCGCACTCTCCATGGGGATGCTGTGCTTTTCCAGGTCTGAACACATGTACACAGAATAGGTTTCCAGCAATATTAGTTCTGCTCAGCACCCTTCACCCCTAGGGACAGTATTTGTCCCTCAGGAGACGCATCAAATACTTTCCTATTTTCTTTCTTCTTCCTCCCAGTGGAAGGGTCCAAACACCTCAGGGAGGAAAAGTGACAGCTTTTGTGGGGAAATCACAGATCTCCACTGCCCTAGAGCACAGGTTTCTCCTGTCTGATGTCTAGGAGCTGTCTCAGCTGCTCATTGCCTGCTTCATGTTCTCTGGGGACCAAAGATCTCCTGGTGATCAGAAACCGATGTTATTGCCTGATACAATTCAACCCATGCTTCCCAGTTGCTCTATGTCCAAGGGACCTCCAGCACCAGCATTACTCTACTAGAATGAGCTGGTCTGGACTGAAAAGGTCCTGATTTTTGCGCTTTTGGCATGATATTTTTCCAGAAAAAAAGCTGTTTTTTCCAGTTACTGGTGGAATTGAAGAAGAGTTGATACCTGGGTCCCACAGGTTCCTTTGAGAATGGCAGTAAAGGAGAGAACATCCCAGGTATTCCCTGTCCTTTTGCAGTCTTGTGAAATGGAGGCAAAGCATCATTGAAGTCTGCTGCATCTCCATGCAGATCAATACTTCCGTTGCCTGATAGATACAAAACCTTTGGTTCAGAATACAACACTTTCACACCGACCCAGCCCATCTTCCCCCAAGCCTCTTGACTAACTCCCATCCAGAAAAATGAGTTGCCTCCTTGAAAATTCACAGAGTCTGACCTTCCTTCAAATCCTCCTGTAAAACTCACCTCAAAGATGAGACCTGAAAATGCGTTGACAGCAGCCAGGCAGCTGGTGTGCAGCGCTCGCTGTTTCTCACACTAATCACAGTCGTCTTATTGCCGTGTCCCTTGCCGGCTGTTTGCTGTATACACCCGTTGTGTCTCATCAGATGTGTGGGGTTTAAATCCCCTGGGACGGGAACCATCTTTCTGCTGTTTGGATAGAGCCTGACGTGACAGAGCCTTCCTCCCTGCCAAGGTCTCCTCACACTGCTCAACACATGGTATTGTTAACGGTGATAAAGGAAATCAAAGGTGGTCATTTTCCAAGGAAAGTGTTTTTGTGAGAAGTAACAATGATGATACTGTTACTTACTACAACTTTGATCATGGTCAAAGGATAGTAAGTTATTTTTAACAAAATATTAAAGTGAGAAAGTTTTACATGCCAAACTTCTCCACCTAGCTCCCATGAAGCCAATTAAAAGATTTCAAGTGGTCAATTCTTTTCATGAAAAATACCTTCTTTCCACCAAAAATTTCCATTTTTCATCTCAAAGCCAAAGGCTCAATCCTCAACATATCAATCGCTTGAAAAACTGAAATCCAATAAAAATATTTTGATTTTCAGCCAGAATATTTTTGGTTCATTTTCAGGCATTTGGCTTCCAGATAAAAGCTGGAAAATTTCCAGGGAAAGCAAGGGGAAGGGCTTACTGGGTTGTCTTTTTTTTTGCATGTATGCAATAAAAGAAATTATTTGGACAAATCAAACAATTTCAGCTCATACAAATTTTTAAGAAAAGTGCTTGTTCTCTTAAATAACAATTAAAATGTAAAAATACTGAACAGCAAAATATTCCTTGGCCTAAAAAGTGGCGGTGCATTTTTTTGACCATGCTATCATTGCCAGAGGCAATGTATTCATCAGTGGTTCATCTATCAAATCCGAACAAGTACTGTTCTTCTCTTCGAGAGCTATGTAGAAATGGCACATTCCTACCCTAGGTATCTATTCTCATCATTTATTAAAATCAGAACTGCAGATGTTAAGAATGCAGAATGGTATTCTACCCTTTTACTCCGTCTATAATGCTAGCCTTATGTTAAGAATGAACTGGATTTTAATCTGACTCATACAGCACAAATTGAACTTTTAGGTAAATATTACTTCTTAGCTTTATGTGCTTTTTGTATATCTTTTGTTAGATTCAGGTTTCTGCCAATATTTAGGATGTTTGGTGCTATCAGGTCTTAACTCCTTCACTCCCAGATTCTCTGTGATTACTGGCTGAAAATCACCTATTGTCCCTTCTCAAGCACGATATTGTTCGCTCTCTACTTAAATTCACTGAATAAGACTTGAGGACAGGAAAAAAAAAAATAGAGCAGAAAGGGTGGATAGTTAAACTTTCTCATTTGCTCTTTCCCCTGATTGCTGTCTTTCACTCAGCCCCCTGCCCTTCCCCTTTTGCACGATCACTGGAAGCTGAAGAGGTATAACTAGCATTTGTTTGTCATCTGTACCCACCTATGTACCTATGTCCTATTTGCAGCTTAAATCATCATTTGTTTCCTCTAAAAATCGGGTCAGAGAGAATTGCATATAAGTGGCATCTTCTCTGGTCAGGTGTGCATTGTTCAAGAGGTGCCATCCACAGAGGAAAGTGTTCCTCAAGTGGGCCAAATGGTCTGAATCCTTTCCAACAGTTATAGTAAAGCTATGCTGGCTGATAAACTTCCAAAATGTTATCGACTTAGGTTGGTGGAGCTGATCTACAGCTGTGGTGAACCTGGCCTTTCTGGCTGGCCAGGGGAGGCTCATATGTACTACACTGAGATTCTGGTACTGGTGAGGAATGGTGGGTTCATTTAAGAGTGCTTTAGGTGTCGGGCTTGCTTTCTTTAGGTGCAGCATGTGACATCATGTGTTCCTGTTAAGACAACCCTACAAGGCAGCCTCCTGGGCCTTACTGAAATCTTTTTTTGTTCTCCTTGCTGCAGGAGAGGAGGCCTTGACCATGTACATGGACAAAAGCCGCCTCGACAGAAAGTCAGGAAACGCTACCCAGAGCGTTGAAGCATTGCACCAACTTGCTTCCTCCTACTTTGTAGACCGTGATGGCACCATGAGGAGACTCCATGAGATCCAGATCTCTACCGGAGCAATCAAGGTACTGTATCTTGCCTTGAGAAGAGAAAGAAGATTGCGTGTCCGTACCAACACTAGGGATTTGGGGAAGGACTTTGCCAGTCCAGTGTGATGTCTTTTTTGATCACAAGTGGTTTTGTTCCCACACTGATTTCCCAGGGTAAATAGCTCTCTTACAGACCTTACCGAAGAATTGATTTTCCCAGGGCCAGTAGTATCTGGAAAGGGGTGGGCATTCAGAGTAATGCTCACGTAGGACAGGAGACTTT